ATAGAGAGAGAGAGATAGATAGATAGATAGATAGCTCAGACATGTTGACTGAACTGTAGCATATTCCTTCACAACTGTTGCTCAAACAGACATAACTCGCCGTGAAAATTATGGATCACACAGATGCTTAGGAAAAAATAACACAAGCGACAATAGGTATTTATGCGTGTAGTTATTCCAATAGCTAATACTACATATGCATTATTATGTATGTATTATTCGCTATTGGTAATACGTAATATGATCTGTGCATATATGTATATTAGCAGGATGGGATAGGTAGGATAACCATGTGCCGATATGGCGGCACACGCCTTAACATCAGCAGGGTTGAGAATTTTTCTACGCACAAACCAAAGTCCCAAGCGAGGCCGAGTTCGTCTTCCCTCTCGCAGGCATTCAGTGAATGGCTTTATAATCACACAGGGTGTTTACGATAAATTGCATTGAAAACAAGGAGGCGAAGAAGACGACAAATTGCTCGCAAGTGTGTGCGCGTGCGGATGCGCGCTCGTTGCGTGCGTGCGTGTATGTATTTGTGCGTGGCGCGCGCGTGTATGTGTGCGTGTGCGCGTGTATATATCTGTATGCGTGCACGTGTCTGCGCGGTTTACTATTTACTCGTCTCTGTACGTGGACATGTGTGTATGCGTGTGCTTGCCTGCGGGGGACTATTACAGCAACATACTACACAAACCACATGAAAAACCGCCACGCAATCGATCTATCTGCACGACAGGGATTTTGCCGGAGAAATGGCCGCCGCGCACGAAAAACAATCAGCTCGTGACTTAGGGGACGCCCGCGACAATGAAGCCTGAAGCCACGACGAATTTTCCAGTTGCTCTTCTCCTCCTCCGAGCTGCCGACACTCTAGCAGCATCAGTTCATCGTCATCTCCGCCGCTGCGACTGCCGCCGAAGTGGCATCGAGTGGGAGAACAAGCCACCGAACTCATTCACGCGGCAATTGAAGCCCAGCTCGAGCCCGCCGTCGTCGCGTACGTATACCCGACTGCTATATGAGAGAGCATTAATGCGGAGATCACGCGGCGCCAATATATAATTGATGAAGTCGAGATGCGTGGTAGCAGACGTAATTACCCGCACTGGTCACATCCGCATCGCATTCAGCATCCCACTGTGCGGGTGCTTAGTGAAAACTAAAAGTATTGTGTCCGCGACGGCCGCGGGAAATGGGACGGTGATTATGGTCGGATGTGTATTTGTAAACAATTATTTGCGGAGAGGCATGGAGAGATAGCAGTTGATGGACGAAGCGGAAAGATAAATGGGAATTGCACCAAGAAAAAGAGACTGCGAAAGCTTGCAAAGGAGCGATATATATATATATATATATATATATATATATATATCTATATATAATGTAGATATATATAGATATATAGATATATGTGCTGTGTATATCTATGGTTACATGTAGTGTTACCTGCGGGTGGAGCTAGGTTAGGCGTATGTTTTACTTGTAACGTGCGTGTAAAACTGAGACGGCAGTGGGTGGTAGCGTTAATTGAGTCCAAGTGAGAGGTTATAGGGTTACTTGCGGTTAGAGCTAGCTTTAAGCGTGGGTGATAGCGTTATATGTACGTGTAAAACTGAGACGGCAGTGGGTGGTAGCGTGGGATGCGTCTAGGCTTGTAGGAGGTGTTAATTGTAGGTTTGCATGCGGGTAGAGCTGGGTTAGGCGTGTGTGGTGCTATAACGTACGTGTAAAACTCAAGTGGCAGTGGGGACTGTGGAGCACTGTTATGTAGGACTGGCGGTGGTGCGTGTCGTACTGTTGTGTGTGTGTAGGGATGGGGACACTGTCGTATACTGTTGTGCGCGCGTTATAACCCAAGTAGGTTCGCACTGTTACATATGCGTATAACTCAGTCAGGTGCCGTTCGCAACACATTATATAGACCCTTATCATACACATACCCTCACCATACACAAAATATATAGACCCTCACCATACACAGAATATATAGACTCTCACCATACACAGTATCAGGAGTTTATCAATATTGATAGACTCCTGACAATATATATAGACCCTCACCATACGTAGTATATATAGACTCTCACCATACGTAGTATATATAGACTCTCACCATACACAGTATAATATACTGTATGTTATACCTGTGATGTGCCGGGGATCCAGGTGTCAGCATCGGCAGCTGGAAGCTGTCTGTGTACGACTGCATCGTCGGAAACGACGACGTCTGAGTCGCTCCTATCAGCACGAAAATTCCCGTCTCCAGCTCTCTACAGACTAGATGAATACACACAAACGCAGACACTCACAGAGAGAGAGAGAGAGAGAGAGAGAGAGAGAGAGAGAGAGAGAGAGAGAGAGAGAGAGAGAGAGAGAGAGCGAGCGAGAGAGAGATGGCGTGTGGCGCATCGCACCCCGGCTCTCGCGTTTAGTCGATTAATAAATATTTCATGTAGCGCGAATGATATAGCCGGGCTCGCATGCATGTTTTCACGCGGACTTCCCCGCCGCTCGCGCTGCATTTAAATTAGCGTGAAAACAGCGAACGCCCGCGAATGAAGCGCGCGTTCGTGCATAACCGTCGTTCATGCGTGGTGGTGGTGCGTAATCTTACCAATTACGGCGGTTATTTAATGAATTAATGAGTTGTGAATCGATGCTCTGTTTGCTGATGAGAGAATCGATCGCTGCGTTAATTGATATGGGAATAAATTATCGCGACAACTTCGATCGCAAACATCGTTGACGTATAAGTGACGCTGGGAGAATCAAATCATCTTTCCCCATTTAAAATGTCACATTCACATCATTTGAAATCACTTCACGGGCTCGATATCGAAACGAGATCAGGAAGGTGAAAAGCACATGCGCATCCAACCGTCAGAACGTTCTAAACAAGCAATAAAAGAAGAATTTTATAAATAATATTATATATATGTTCTGTATTATATAAATTTTGCACAGGGGAGAGATAGTGATCCGCTAGGGGACGGCTCTGATTGGCTAATTTTGTCTCTTATTTATTTTATTTTTTATTATTTTTAGCTAATTTTGTTTTATTTTAGAATTAGGGTTAGAGTTAGGGTTAGGGTTAGGATTAGGGTTAGGGTTAGGGTTAGGGTTAACTGATTTCTATATTCACTATCTCTCCCCTGAGACCTACTAGTAAAATAATATATGTGGTTATAACCGGCGGACACTGCTGAAAAGCAAAGTACGCTCTGATAACACACATGAAATTTCCGTTTCAAAATTTGTCGCAGTTCCATTCACGTCACAGACGTAGGCATTTATAGACGAAAGCACTCACATCTAACCCCCTGTTCTCCTATTTTACGGTAAAAAAAAACAACAGTAAACGTCTAATGCGTGTGGATACAACGCATAGGGTGGCCATCTAACAGTGACCGTCTCCAGTACGCGTTGAAGAACGCGATCCTTAGCGCCAAAATGTTCCTACTTCACGTGATTTCTCACCGATTCGATCAAGGAAAGTAATCGAGGATTTTCTATTTACTCCGATTTGCGATTCGTCTCTACCTTAATAACTTACTTGCTCGCTCAATGTCGAAGCTGTTTCCGGTGTCAGTGAATTCAGTGACAGCGTCGAGCCTCCAGTGCGTCTGCCAACTGCTAGATGGCGCCAGATTCCGCAGCCCGTATCGGAAGCTGGCGTTCATCTGTCTCGAATCGGGACTCAGTATCAGCCCTGTGATAGTGTAGTATATCCATTATCAGCGTGTGTGTGGGCGCGTGCAGTAAATCTTTCATGGCGTATCATGTGGGCCATTCGATTCGCTGGACCTCCCATCAAATATTTACTTTAGTCGCGTACGCGTGTCCATCGCTCTCGCGCGTTGTCTTGGATGATCCCAGTCCGGAAGGAAAGCAAATCGATACGCGGACCGATAGTAGTAGTAGTAGTAGTAGTAGTAGTAGTAGTAGTAGTAGTAGTAGTAGTAGTAGTAGTAGTAGTAATAGTAGTAGCAGTAGCAGCAGCAGTTATATATACGTATAAATGAAAAAAACATTACAGAAAAACCGTTAGCGATACACACTCATTTCAGCCGCTCCTGCTGATGGTCCTCGAACTATACCACAACAATAACAAAATAATATAATAGAAATAATAATAATAAACAAATTGTACGAATAGTGGAACTATAGCTCTCACTATACTCACATAACTATCACTATAGCTCTCACTATACTCACATAACTATCACTATAGCTCTGCAAGTGAAATTAATACAGATTTTTTCTTTCTATACTCACTTACAACCCTCGACAATAACAAAGCGACGACTAACCATGATGAGCATTTACGCCCTACTACTCACACTGTCTCATAATCTTGGATTTGACTTGTCGGCATTGACCGATCGTTCGCATATATCGGCTATATTTAGTCTCGTTCGAGCGAGCTAGCTTCGAGTTAGCGAAGCAGCATTACCCGAGAGACTGGCCTCGAGTCAGTCGGCCAATGCCTTGTAGATGTAAGCAGTTTCTTCGGCTGCGCTAAATACCACAGTACACAGCATACAGGTGATTCGTACCCGGGTGCGCAAACACTGAGAGATCGCTGGGCAACCTCATAAGAGGGAGCGCCACCCGTGCTGTTAGAAGGAGGACCCATGCATACGATGGCATTTAGAGAGTCCGTGGAAAGGCTTACACAGCGGGTCCCTAAACAGATCAGCTGAGGTCTGGAGCGATCGAGGCATCGTGTGCGGTGGTTGTCCACCCCCGAGATCCGCTATGTCTACATTAGTACCTCATACAGGGATGGCTGCATCGCCACGTAACAACCACGACTATGCAGTTTTTTTAGGGATGCGAGAACGACTGATTCGCATACACGACGCTTTGCCAGTGTTACCAACATTTAACCATAGTTAAATAGTTATCATAGTTAATCACCACTTAATTATAGTTATCCCGTGTTTACGAATCATGCCTGCTCGCCTGCGCCGACTTTAACATTTAACGCATTCGACCCAACGCTGTAGAAACTGCACGTTCCAACATCGCACAGTACTACTTTTCCGATGACGACTTCACTGACTGAATTCGCTATTACTGTTTTATTGTGTCTGATGATTCTGGAGGTATTTAAGAGCTTATTCAAGTTCCTGGAGAAAGTCTCTAATTTAAGACGAGATTTCATCACAATGACATTTACTGCTGACTACATTGCCAATGTCCCAACTGTACTCTGCGTTTCGACATCTAGAGATTTGAAATAGAAGACGTAAGCGCGGTATTTGAGTTATTCTGTCTGTGAAGAGCGTATATAGTTAAGTACCGTAAGGCTATAGCAATGTATGATATTGGGGGCGCGTTGCACTCTATGGTCCCCGCGGTTAACTCAGGCTTGCTACCACATCATGTTATTGATAATTATGGAAGTCATTGTCTGCAGCAGTCGCGTGGATTTGAGCATATATTAATTATGTTCCTCGCGCTTGCATCAACGTCGCTGTCACGTACGAAACAGCCATCCGTTCTCTGTATATACATAGCGCCATATACGGACGCCAATTGTGACAGTGATATCGCACAAAATGAGTATATTATACCCGAAATTATTATACCCGAGTTAATACTTGACGACACATACAGTTCACTTCTGAAGCCGCTATATGGTTACTCGCTATTGTTTCGTAATATGAACTGTAGGACGTTGTAAAATTAACGTATAATTTGCAATCAATCATCGGGTTGCAGCCTGTTTAGCATATGCGACGGGAAATCATGGCAGACGTCGACGGAATGCCCCAAAACTCGCGAGATTCTACGATAGCCGATCACCGACAGCTTCTACGATTCTGCTTACCGACTGGGATCCGTACGAGTGCCGTGGCGTCGACCTGGGCTCGCACAGGCTGGAGCAGCACCCTCCAACACAACGCCGCACATAACGCCGTCAACATTCTGCCGTCGGCCGCCGCCGTCGCCGCAGCCGCCAGCCTCCGCGGTGACATTCCTCACTAACGTGAGCGCGAGAGAGCGTTCACTGCGAGCGTGCAGACGCGTGGCTGAGCACTGATGACAGCGCCGCACTGCGGGCGTGTCGTCGCTCTGATGTAGAATTCGGCAGTTCGGCGCTGGATCGAATCGGGAAGGTTTCCAGCTCGGCGCTGGATCGAATCACAGGCACTTGGAACATTTCAATACTAAAACTATGGTTAATAAACACGAAATGTTTTTACTACCAGAGTCTTAATGCTTGTGCACAGCGGCGCGCGCGCGTTGTACTTGCGTCTTGCGGAGGGCATGAACCGTGTTTACAGGAAATTATCGGCAATTAATAGGCGAAAGAAAGTAGAAAAAACATTAAGACTTTGGTAGTAAATACATTTCGTGTTTATTTACCATCACGTCGCACTGTACGGTCCCCGCAGTTAACTCAGGGTTATTGATAATATTATGGTAGCCATTGTCTGCAGCAGTCGCGCAGATTGGAGCATTATGTTCCTCGCGCTTGCATCCACGTCACTGTCACGTATATACGGAACAGCCATCTGTTCTCTGTGTAATACTTGGTGACATACAGTTCACTTCTGAAGCCGCTATCTGGTTACTCGCTATTGTTTCGTAATAATTATGAACTGTTGTTGCCGACGCTGTGCAGCGCAGACGGGAGGCTTGTCCGTATACAGCAGCGTGTTGTTCTGAGACAGACGGGTCGGCTGTCACCCGCCCCCTGCTGCACCCCCGCGTATAAATAATGTCACTATAGAGCACAGACGTTTCCACTAGGCGCGTTCGGTATATAGCGTAAATTTACATAGCGAGCAACGACGGACGACTTTCGACGAAAAGCCGGAGATGTGGCGGAGAAGGGAGGGAGGGGGGAAGGGGGACGGGGCGTTTTCTCGATTTCTGTGCGTGTGTGTGTGTTATTGCGCTTGGGCCCCCGGAAATGAAAATTGATTTTACTTGTGAGAGAGCAGCTTGGTAAACAGATTGCATTTGCGCTTTGAACGCGGAATTAAAAAAGCAAACACACACACGCACACACACACTAGACGCGCACACACGCAGGTACACGCACACACACGCACACACACTAGACGCGCACACACGCAGGTACACGCGCACACACGCACACAGGCACACACACGCACACACACACACACACACACACACACACACACACACACACACACACACACACCACGCACACCACACGCGCGCATTCAGCGGACAGATACTACTTCACCGTAATTCGATTTACGTCCCAATAAAGTTATGTTATGATCAACTCTAGTGTAGTCAGCCATACCTCATTTTACCGGCCTCTTGCAATTTTCATCAGAATATTCTCCCATCAGTGCTAACACTCCGATATTTACCCTCTTTGTCTGAATTGCGCTTAATCGAAATCGAAATGGACATGTGCGTTTTTCAAAATCAGCCTAAAATAACTTTGCTTCGTTTTACTGTTTGTACTTTTAATTGTTACCCCAATCGCTTTCTTCGTCGTGGTCTCTATAACGGCCCATGTCATGATGCCATCTAGTAAATATGGCAGGTAGATCTCTCTACACTATAGTAAAAGTATACTCACAGCTGGCATGACTCCGCGCCGCTACGACGCGAGTGCTTGGAGTGGCGCATCAGCGATTCTGACCGAAGCGAAATGCTATAGATGTGACAGGGTCAAGCCGTCACCTATTGCAGGTACATCAATTAATCGTTCTCGTGACAAAAACAGGTCAATAAAGCTGAATGACTATTTAGTCATGTTTACGCAGGATCCGGCCTTTTTTTAGCGAAATCCGCATGAGAAGCTCCGAAATCGCCGAAAGAGTCGCGAAAAAGTCCGACCGTCGCGCCCACGTTTTTTTTTTGCGAAGTCGCATAAATGCATTATCACGCAGGGTGCCTCGTTCCAGTCTGGGTTGAAGTGCCGTGCGCACGAAATCAACCTTGGAATGCAAAATTACTGGATTCCTGTGTGGCCCTAGCAGTACTTCGTGAGAGGGTGAACACGCTGCGCACATGCCAGGTATCGATCTCTGCCCTGTGCGGGCAAGGTCGCATTGGGCGAATTTATAGCGATTTCCGCTCCGAGCTTTTGACGCGAAAGAACGACGTACTGCACCGAAAAATACTTTTCAGCAAATCCTTCGCTGATTGCAAACGTTTCCTCGATGGTTACAACCATTACACAACTCTTGGCTACCGACCTTTAGAGTCTAAGAACAATTTGGCAAGGCCTACGCGTAGTGCCTACGAAGTAGGATACAGATACTCTGATATGTCGGACGACAGACAGAGACAGGCTAGCAACCAGAACAGACAGACAGGCGAGAGAGAAACACTCACAGGCGCACGCGTCGCATATGCACGCATGCACGCACCCAGCCACATTCGAACATGACCCACACACCATGCACTTACAGCTCACCGCGCCGCATGCACGCACCATCGAACG